TGCACTACAGGGAAACGTTGGCCCTACACCTAGTTCCTCAGTGAGAGGACAATCCACCCCTGGGATTCTACTTTTAGCGGGGGACACTGGGATGCATTGCCACATGTTGATTGTCAGTAGAAAGAGGAGTAATTTGTTTGTCTTCTGCTAGGGACTTCCACAAAGATGACAGGACTGAATTAGGTTTTCTGTTCTTTGGTTTTGCTGTTGTTGCTGTTGTTGTCATTGTTTTATCACTGTTTTCCTTTGGAATCCCTGCTAACACTAAATCCTGCCAAAGTTGTTTATGTGATACCTGGGTTGGTCCTTTCCCTGCTTATTCTCCAACCTTTGTTTGTTTCTCTTTTATCTCTTTATTTTTGTCTACTTTTCTATTTCCTCCATGGAGGACTCTTTCTGTTTCACTGAGATCTGCTATAATGGCAGCTACCAGAGCTATCACTTTACTGAATATAGGTGCCAGAACTGATACTAAGGTGTCATACCAAACTCCAGGAACAGACTGTAAGATGCAGTCCTTCGTACCTGAGATAAATTATTCTTCATCTGGCCCCATAAAGTTGTCTGGATATATATCATGTCTCATTCCCAGTTCTCTAATGATGTCTTGTAGTTCTTCCATGGAGTTCCAGTGTAATGGAGGAGATGGGACATCTCCTTTGTTAGGCCAGGCCAGCTTTACCCCAGCCCTAATCCAAGTAACCAAGTCAGCCACCATCCTCAGTTCCCTCCCATTCCAGAAGCATATAACCTTTGTCTCAGGGCTGGCTGTGCTGTCACCAAATCCAGTTTAGACATCTCCAGGCCATTTAGCATGATACTATCTGTTCCTCTGTCCCACAGGCAAAGTAACCATGCAGTTACTCCTTCCCTGGTCTTTTGTTTGAACGTGGCTGTCAACTCAACTACTTCTGCAGAAGAATACTCCCTCATAGTTATCTTTTGGCTAGTTGGTATCACTTCTTGCTCATCTTTGGGCTCACGGGTTGCCTGAGTCTTTGTTTGAATGGGGGGCAAGCCCTTAGGTCATCTTCCCCTTCAACAATATATTTCCCTCCTCAGAGAAATCATTACACCATAGATCCCATCATTTGGGATTCCAATTTTCCTGTGAGATAATGGTCCTCACCCTGTTGGATGGTGCCACCCTTGCATTTTTGCCACTTTGCACACCATGACCTCTAGGTGTTCCTCTTGTTGTTGTACCTTTTTGGCTAGTAGGTCTGAATTAGAGAAACAAACACTCTTAGATCCTTTTCTAATGCCAGGGCCTCTTTAGTTTTCCCCTAGTTCCTGCCTGAGTCGGAGTTCTTTTTCTGCACTCAGTCACAGGGCCCAAAGCAGCAGCCATACTACTGCGGCTATAACATGTTCAACTTCCTACCTTAGCTTCTCTTTACCTACTGCTTTGGTTAGAATCTCCAGCAACCCTTATAGCGTTTTGGGGGTGTCCCTGTACTCACACACTAGTCTGAAGCGTTCCAAAAACTTGGCTAAGTCTACCCACATGGAAGAGGCTGGCCATCCTGGGATTTCCACCACTGACAACAGGCTGTCTCCCAACATGGTCCCCTTACCCATGCCTATTTCATTTTTGGTCTCCTGGCTGGCTCGCCAGTTCTCTGAAGGCAGGGATATTGAATAAATCCCCTGAACTGAGAAGAAACTTTGAGACTGAAAAACAAAGCAGGCAACTCCATAAAGTACAATTATGAAGTTTATTGTGGGTAGGTTACATACAGGTAGGATCAGGCAGATTTCAATCTGGAATTATTCACAGCTGCACTATACACCTTCAAATGTGGTCCAGGATTATTTAAAGGGGCCAAAGCTAAGGATAGAATCTGACTACTGTTACCAAGCCAGATTCATTTGCCTGTATGCAGCAAGCCAAACGCTGAGATGCCAAGCTTTGTAGTAGAGAAAAGCTTTACTCACAGCCAAACAAGGAGATGAATCTCAAATCCACCTCCCAAAGATAGGTTTTAGGAATATTTATGGGATAAAGAGGCAGGATGGTCTGAGGCATGGGGAAAGGTGATTGGAAATAAGAAAAACGAGGTAATCAGTGATCTGTGCAAGTGTAGTCAAGCTTCATGGTTCTTCATAGGACACATGTTCAAAAACTGGCAGTGTTAGCATGTTCTGAGGGTGGAGTTTTGGGCCCTCTGACGTTAAAAGGTCATCATGCAGGTCCAGTTAGATTGTCAGTAGTCTCAACTGGTCTGAATCAGGCAAGAACTAGCTCCAAGTTCCTGAAAAACAACTTAAGCAACCATTACTACAGTGACCCATATGTCAGGGATGTTATATATAAGGAAGCTAGTGGGAGTTTAGTTTAATATCAACTAAAAGCAAACTAAAAGCAAGTGAGGCAGGTTAAATTTGGTGGGCCTACTCAGGTTAGCCCTCCGTTTCACTACTAAGGGAGAAGCACGTCCATGCCAACAGGAACCAGGGTTTTTTCTCTCCCCAGGGGTCTCATGACTATCATTCCTCACAAATCATTAACCATCTGCGTCAGCAAAAGGCATTCTTCGAATTTTCATATCAGATGAAGGCAAGGGTAAAAGTTGATAGAGAACTTCTCTAGCGTTCGTGCATTCCTTCTGAGTAGGCTAAGGCTCCGTCACAGAGAAAGGGGAGGAGGGTAGGACTGTGGGCCCATGATGGAACTGAAAAAATGGAGTCAGTGTGGTTCAGCCATACAGCATCTTTGGCTAACAATGTAAAATGTTAGTGCCGGGTTTCCCTGGTGGCGCAGTGGTTGAGAATCCGCCTGCCGATGCAGGGGACACAGGTTCGTGCCCCGGTCCGGGAAGATCCCACATCCCACATGCCGTGGAGCGGCTGGGCCCGTGAGCCATGGCCACTGAGCCTACGCATCCGGAGCCTGTGCTCCGCAATGGGAGAGGCCACAACAGTGAGAGGCCCGTGTACCGCAAAAAAAAAAAAAAAAAAAAAAATGTCAGTGCCATTTTGATGTTTGATCCTTTGTCTCAAAGATGTACATAACTGTGCCTTCCATTTCTAATAGATGGAACAGTCCTCAGAGTTTTCCAAAACACTGTCTTTCAGATTATAATCCTCAAGTTGGCTCAAATAAAATTTTCTATTTCTTCTTTAGATCGACTATTGATTAATTTTTCCTTGACAAGAGGAACGGTAGAGCACAGGCGCGACCAAGGTAACAGGCGCGAGAGGAGTGTTCTGGCACGACCCCAGCCTTCTCCGCTCCTCCCTCCCAGTTACTCCTTGTGGAGATCGCCAACCAAACAGAGACCAGGACCAACCCCAATCCCCCTCCTCCCCTTAGCTTGGGACTGGAGAGCGCAGGCGAGAACGAGATGGACGGAGGGGCGCGAAGCCAGGTGCGCAGGCGCTGCAAGTCTCCGATGAGGCGCGGGCCTGAGTGGGACGTCGGCGCGCAAGCGCAGCAGGTCCCCTCAAAACGGGCACGCTCCTCCACCGGACTCAACACGCAGGCGTGGAGTCTTCCCCGCTAAGGGTTCGCGCAGGCGGGGTATTAGCGCGCAGGCGTCCCGCCAGGGGGCGGAGCCCGAGAGTTGGGCGGCGGATATCCGGTTCCTGGAGCAACGAACGGCGGCGGCGGCGGCGGCGGCGGCGGCGGCGGAGACAGCTACAGCTTCTGAGGAAGCGGCTGCGGAGGAGGAAGAAGAGGAGCTGGGCAAGGCGAGAGCCACAGGCGGGACCCTCGTCATGGGTCAGCGGACCTAGAGCGGTGGACGGTACCGGCCGGGAGCCGAGCTGGTGAGACAGTCGTGGGGGTGGAAATGGAGACCGCTCAGGCGGAGAATGGGGAAGAATTGAGGCTCAGAACGCTGACGGAGAGCAATGAAGGGCCCTCAGGCCGATGAGTGGGAGGAATGGCGGCGTCGGAATATTGAAGGGGAGTAATGGGGGAATTTAGAAGGAGGACTGGGAGGAATGGGCTCAGAAGACTGACAGGTGGAAGTGTCGGGATCTTGGACGAGGACGGAGAGGAATAGGGGAGGATCCGAACGCTGAGGGCAGATATTGGGGCCTCTCAGGTTAAGGAGAGAGAAATGGGGGTTCAGAACGCTCAAGGGGAGAAATTAGGGGCTCTCAGGCTGATGACGGGGAGAAATGCGTTGGAATGCTGAAAGGGAGGCACGGGGGTCTCATATGGAGGACGATGAAAAATAGGGGGTCAGAGCGCTGACAGTTAGGGATGGCATGATCTTGGCCCAAGAGGAGAGGAATGGGGTGGAGGGGTTCAAACGCGGAAGGGAGAAGTCAGGGTGTCTCAAGCTGATGGGAGGATGAGGACGCTGAAGGGAACTTTTTAGCTGCAGAAGAGCGGAATAGGGAGGTTTGGGGGCTTGGGAAGAAATTGTGGGTTAGAGCACCAACAGAGGGAAAATAAGGTGGGCGAGACTGTCAACGATATGGAGGAGATGGGGGCTCTGTGGCAGAGGACACAGAGGAAGTCGAGGCAATAATACTGAGGTAGCAGGATAAGAGGACAGCAGACAGGGAAGGAATGGGAGAGTTAAAAGACTTGAAAGAGAGAGATTAGTGACTCCTGGGTCAAGGAAGGGAATGAATGGGCGGTTAGGATATTGAGGGAGAGTTTGGGACCTGGGTCTGAGGACGAGTCGTATGGGGGCCTCTTGCGCTGAGGATGGGAGGACTGAGGTCTCTCAAGCTGAGGCTGGGGGGGAATTGGGGATTAGGACGCTGAGAGTGAGGAATGCATTGAGGATGGAGACCCTTAGGTTGAGGATGGGGCTACCCGGTCAAGAAGCGGGGGGAATGACAAGCTCCTGGGCCCAGGACAGGGAAGAATGGAGTGGGGATGGGGGTTTTCTCTTCCTTATATTGGCCAGTTGCTTGTGGCAGGTCCTAGATCTTAAACAAGCATTAATAGATCCGTGGGTTTGTGTGGCCTGGGGCACAACATGTTCCTCCCTAGAGCCTCAGTTTCTCCCACTGCCCCCTCCATGTTGCAGGCCGCTGCTCCTTCTTGTGGCCCCATGGCTGAGGACTGGCTGGACTGCCCGGCCCTGGGCCCTGGCTGGAAGCGCCGTGAGGTCTTTCGCAAGTCAGGTGCCACCTGTGGACGCTCAGACACCTATTACCAGAGGTACTGGGTGGGTTGTGGACAGAGTCAGGGGTTAGGGCTGAGCCTGGTTAGGCAGGGTGAAATCAGGGGGTGGGGTTAAATTATGCATATACAGTTGGTCCTTATTATTTGCAGATTCCATATTTGCAAATTTGCTTACTAAAATTTGTTTGTACCCCCAAAGTCATACTCACTGTGCTTTCGTGGTCATTTGTGGATATGCACAGAGCAGCAAAAAATAAGTCGCCTGATGCATGTGTTCCCAGCCGAGGTTGTACGAGGCTTTCTTATTTTAGCTCTTGTACTGTAAACAAGTATCCTTTTTGAGGTCTATTTAGTGTTCTGTTTTTTGCATTTTTGTACTTTTTAATGGTGATTTTGCTGTTAGTAGTTGCCCCCAAGTGTAGTGTTGAAGTGCTGTCCAGTGTTCTAAGTGCAAGAAGTCGGGGATGTGCAATATGCAGAAAATACATATTAAATAAGCTTTGTTCAGGCATGAGTTGCAGTGCTGTTGGCTGTGAGTTCAATGTTAATAAATCAAAAAGGCAGTATATCTAGAAAAAGAAGCGGAAATTTGCCAATTAGTACATGAGGCTGCTCCAGAAAGTGCTAAAGTAACATCTATAGTATCTGATGAAGCTGAGGAAAAGGTGTTAAAATGGCTAAATTCGCGGAACCATGAGATGATGATTAAAGTGTAGTGGACAGCGTTGTGAGGCTGAAAGCAAAGGACATTGACAGTCACGTTACCCAGGGTTATGAAAATGTTAAGCCTGTCTCAGCTAGTGCTGGCTGGCTCACACGTTTCAGTAGGTGATACATCGTGAAAAGTGTTAAATTTGCAAGTGAGGCAGGTTCTGCATATAAGAGACTGTGGAAGAATTTAAAAAACACCTGATAAGTGTTATAGTGGAAAAGGGTTATGTAGAAGAGTAGGTTTTCAGTGCTGATGAGACTGGCTTGTTTTACATCGACAAAGGAACCTATATAACACAGATGGCTTCCAAAGCTCCTGGCTTTAAATCATTCAAAGGCCATGCAGTTAATTATTTGTAAGAGGACTGTATTAAGCAGGGTGTCTTTAAACAGAAACACACATAAAACAAGGTTACATACTGATCAGCTGGCAAAATGTGACCAGAGGCTTACAGGAACCTAACCTGTAGTTCCATTAGGCACAGTGGTTCTGTACTCACTAATTCAGTGTTCAAGGTTACTTTATAGAACAAATTACTGTGAATAATGAGAATTGACTGTAAATACATGAAAATACATTTTTACAAACCAGTTACATTTAAGGATTTATTAGATCTTTTAGAATATGTTAGTGATACAGTTATTAAATTTCTTAAACTTTTTTTGTATGTAAGTTGTTTCCTTGGAGGAATATAATAAAATTGTACCTACAGTTACATTTATTTATATGTTTATAAATAAACATATGGTGTTTTTTAAATGTTTATATGTTTATTTATATTAGTTGTACATTTATCCACATATTTACAATTTTTATAAAACTTTCAAAATTTATAAATATAAGTGCAATGATCAAGAGCTAAAAAGGCCAGAGATTTTACCCTAATTAAGGCAAGATAGCAAGTGAATGTGTCGCAGTTCTGTGGATGCTAGTAGGAGATATGAGGCTTCTGGTTCAGAGATGAAAGACAGTTTATTACTCACAGCATTAGCAGTATCCAGTATGTCATCGTTATTGTGCCAGTTCCCCAAATTCTAGTTCCCACAGGGTGACATGAAGAGAGTAATTAATTAGCACCTACACACGCACTGGGTTGTGTTGTAGGAGAGGAACCTTGAGCTTAAGGAATCCAGTCTTTTATAATGTTAGGACAGTAAGGATGCCTTCCCTTTGCTCTGGAAGGACACCCTATCTCTTATCTTCCAAGGCTGATGCTGTACACATATCCTTGAAAAGATAGTTCATAACAAAGGATAGTCAATGCTGCTCTTGAAAGACATGTAGAAATGTGAGAGACCTGTGGAATATTGTCTCCCAACATCAGTTACTTATACTTTGTTTTGTATGTCGTTGCATTTATTTGTTTACATATGTATTTGTATGTATATCTATATGTACACTTATTTATATGTGTACAGTTGACCCTTGAACAATGTAGGGATTAGGGGTGCCAATCCCCTGTGCAGTCAAAAATCCACATATAACTTTTGATTCCTTAAAAAGTTAACTACTGGGGACTTCCCTGGTGGTCCAGTGGTTAAGACTGTGCACTTCCACTGCAGGGGCATGGGTTCAATCCCTGGTGGGGGAACTAAGATCCTGAGTGCCATGTGGCACGGCAAAAAAAACAAACACACAAAAAAATTAACTACTGATAGCCTACTGTTGACTGGAAGCCTTACCGATAACATAAATCGTTAACATGTATTTTGTATGTTGTATATATTATATACTGTATTCTTACAGTAAAATAAGCTAGAGAAGAGATTAAGAAAATCATAAAGGAGTTCCCTGGTGGCCTAGTGGTTAGGATTCTGGGCTTTCACTGCTGTGGCCCGGGTTCAATCCCTGGTCGGGGAACTGAGATCCTGCAAGCCGTGCGGTGCAGCCAAAAAAAAAGAAAATCATAAGGAAGAAAAAGTTCATTTACAGTACTGTACTGTATTTATCAATACCATAAGTTTACATCATCTGTTTACAAGATGAATTGCTTGTATGTCAGTACCTACATCAATATTGTCTTATATGATACAAAACATTGTAGATATTATACACATTACTAATACCAGACATCAAAAATGAAAAGATAATTGAAAAATTTACATTTATTTACAGGTATAACAATTCATGCATTGATAACTAAGAAGGAGCAATATGATTGCTTTATGGTAGGGTACTATAATTGTTACGATTGCTTCATGGATTGCTTCATGGTAGCCTCACCTGTACACTAATGAATGAATTGTAAAATTTTTATGGCATACAGTATTATAATCATATTCATAATACAGTATTGGGAATATTGTTACATTTTTAAAAACCACTTACCTGTGATGATAGGCAGTTTCCCTGATTGCCAGAGAGAGAGGCATACCATATGGTAATGTAATTCTTTGAAAGCAAAGTTATAAAGCAGTAAGAAAACTAACATGTTAAGTTTATATTAAATATCACTCACCTTATGCCTGTGTAAGTATAGGCAATCCACTTCAAGTCTCGCACAGATGAATACTTGGGTGATGAAACGTCTCATACAGTTCTTGCCGTACAGTTGTTAGATTTTCACACAAAGATACGAACACGATAGGTAAGTATTAACTGTACAGCCTGATGATTATTTACTGTTCGTTAAGTGGAAGTGGACCATCATAGAGGTCTTCATCTTTGTTGTCTTCACGTTGAGTAGGCTGAGGAGGAAGAGAAAGAGGAGGGGTTTGGTTTCGCTGAGGAGGGCGGCAGAGGCAGAAGGAGGAGGAGGTGGAAGGGAAGGCAGGAGGGCCAGAACACGCAGTGTAACTTTACAGAAATACATGGTAATTTCTGTCTGACCTTTTTGCTTTTTCACTTTTCCAAAAATGTTTCTACACAGTACCAATCTTTCTTCCACTGTTTGCTTTAGTTTGGTGTCCATATCATAGAAGGGTCCGTGTTGTAAAATAAGTCAAAGTATTCTTGAATATCGGAACCCTTCTGCTAGATTGTCTAATGTCAGTTTTTTTCTGGCACTCCTTTTTCTTCGTCTTTTTCCTCATCATCTGGCACTGGTTCGGCAGCATTCATCTCCATCAAGTCGTCTTGTGTTAATTCCTCTGGTGTGGTGTCTGATAGCTCTTGAATCCAAGATCCATGTCTTGAAACCCTTCATCCCCTCCCCTCTTTTTGCCGTATCCACAATCTCTTTCATGATATCCTTGATTGACTTGGTTGTAAATTCTGGGAAGTCATGCACAACATCTGGACACAGTTTTCTCCAGCAGCAGTTATTGTTTTGGGCTTGATGACTTTCACAGCCTTTTCTATAATGATGGCGTCTTCAGTGGTGTAATTTTTCCATACTTTCATGATGTTCTGTCTATGAAGGTTCTCTTCCATAGTGTTGACAGTCTTTTCTATAGAGTACTGTGTGTAATGAGCCTTAAAGGTCCTTATGACCCCCTGATCTAAAGGCTGAATTAGAGACATTGTGTTTGGGGGCAGGTGGACCACTTCGATGCCTTTGGTGTTGAATTCATGGGGTTCTGGGTGGGCAGGGGCGTGGTCCAATATCAAAAGAACTTTAAAGGCTGTCTGTTACTGGCAGGGTACTTCCTGACTTCAGGGACAGAGCATCAGTGGAACCAATTAAAAAAAGTGTTCTCGCTGTCCAGGCCTTCTTGTACAACCAAAAGACTGGCAGCTGGGGTCTGTCTTTTCCCTTCAGGACTCTAGGGTTAGCAACTTTATAGATAAGGGCAGTACTGATCATAAACCTGACTGCATTTGCACAAAACAGTAGGGTTAGCCTGTCCCTTCCAGCCTTAAATCGTGTTGCTCACTTCTCTTTCTTACTAATATATGTCATTTCTGGCATTTTTTTTTTGCAGACTAGGGCACTTTGATCTGCATTAAAAACTTGTTCAGGCAGGTATCCTTTCTCCTCAGTGATTTTCTTAATGGCGTCTGGGAACTTGTCTACTGCCCCTTGGTTGGCAGAACCCGCTTCTCCTGTTATCTTGACACTTTCAAAGCCAAACCTCTTTCTACAATTATCAAACCATCCTTTGCTGGCATTAGATTCTCTGGCTTTAGAGACTTCACCTTCCTTTTGCTTACCTTTGTCATTTGTCATTACAGTGACTTCATTTTTTCTTGAATTATATTGGAATTTATAGGTATGGCTTTCTTATAGCAATCCTGCATCCACATAAGAGCTGCATTTTCAGTGCAAGATAAAGAGGTGTTTTGCAAAAAATACAAGGTTTTCGAGCTGCTGGTGTAGCTGCAGCGACAGCTTCACGAATTTCCTTTTTTTTTTTTTTTTTTTTTTTTTTTTAA